AGAATATTCTCTACTCTCAGGTAAGTTAATTTATCTTTGATGCCTTTCTTTAGATTCTATAGAGGCAGCATTGCATCTTTAGCAGTGGTCTTCATCCATGTTTTTCCGTATCATGAAGAAAAAAAATCTGACCTACTGGCACTGATATGCAAGGCTTTTCATAATTGAACTTCAATCCACTTTTTGAGTTGTATCTTCCAGTATATACCCTTTAAAACTATTATAATAGACTGCATAATTCAGATTTCCCAGCTTCAGTGCATTTGATCTACCTACTGAAGGCTCATCAAGCCCTTTAACATCCTGCAGGAAGGACCAGGTGCGGTCACTCATGCCTGTAATCCCAGCACTTTGGGAGGCCGGGGCAGGCGGATCACTTGAGCTCAGGGGTTCGAGATCTCAGCCTGGGCAACATGGCGAAACCCCGTCTCTATAGAAAAAAAAAAAAATTCCTGCAAGAGCTTACTTTCTTTATTCCCCATCTTTATCTCCCTCAGAAATCTCTGGTCTTCTGTTACATCCAGGTAATTATTTCAGAAGACACTTATATAAGCTGTCTCTCCTAATGTTATGTTTCTGTGGGTATACCTTCTGCTATAGACCCTGAAGTTCTGGAGGGCAGAAACATGCATTCACCCTTCTACATCCTATAATAAACATTTAGTAAGGATTCCAATTAGGATTGAAGTGAACTGAATCTATTTATAGCCCATCCATGTGGAATTAAAGAGCCTTTACAAAGTTTTAAGCTGTAATAGGATTGACTAAACAAAAAAGTTATTTTTTGAAATAGGAACAAATGACTCTCATTTCAGTTTTCACTTTGATTTATTCACCCAGATAACAATATCTAGCCATATGTACTCCATGGCTGCTGATACTGCTAGCCATACCAATAGAGGAAGTCTCTGCCACAGGCCCACAACTTGGGCTACTCTGTCTTCTGAGAATTTGGGGAGCTCTGTTCTCTGAATCAGGACAATGTTTTATGGTTGATGTTTTTTCTTCATCCGGGAAGTTGTCTTCAGGGTAACTGCTTATCCTTGGCTAGTGGTACAAAGACAAAAAAGTACTTTAATAGTTATCATTACACATCAGAGTTTTTAGGGAAAGGGAAATGCACCATTTTTCTTTCTTCTATACAGTTCAATTCACTGGGCTAAGTGAGCAAAGTAAGAGGTGAGTTACTGCCCCAACACAATTATCGACTTGCCGTGTGATTTTTAATCAGCCCTAACTCAAAACTCATAAAATTTTTATAACTAATTATATAAAAATCCACAAAACAACTAGAAACAATCAAGAAAAATGACTCCACTAACACGTCAAATTGTAGTCATAAGAATGATAAATGAACTCTTGTTTCCCCTCCATGTAGTCAAGTATTTTCTTCAATAAGCAATAACCTATTTTTGTCTTTTTCTTTCTTTCTTTTTTTCTTTTTTTCTTTTTTTACTGAGATGGAGTCTCGTTCTGTCGCCCAGGCTGGAGTGCAGTGGCGCAATCTCAGCTCACTGTAACCTCCGCCTCCTGGGTTCAAGGGATTCTCATGCCTCAGCTTCCTGAGTAGCTGGGATTACAGGCACGCGCCACCACGCCCAGCTAATTTCTGTATTTTTAGTAGAGACAGGGTTTCACCATGTTGGCCAGGCTGGTCTCGAACTCCTGATCTGAAGTGATCCACTTGTCTCAGCCTCCCAAAATGCTGGGATTATATGGGTAAGCCACCACGCCTGACTGCCTTTTTAAAATAGCTATTACAAATACTGTATTCCTCATGAAATCTTCTTTACTATATATTTTACACCATCATACACTCCTTTTGAAGAAAACTGTATTCATCTAAAATACATTTAAGAAAATTCTAAAAAAAACTAAAAATTATTTTAAAAATTTATTATTTAAATAAGGATTTAGTGTTCAAAATCATTAAGTAGCTCACCTTAGGAGGTAGGGGAGGTGGTACTGCACGTTTTGAGGTTGATCTAATACAAAGAAGAAATGCAATTTAGATGATGATAAATGACCATAACCGAAAACATAGATACTATTAAATATGTATTAAAATCAGTTCCTATACAGAGGATATAAAAGACAGATCACAATGCAGAGTATAAAATCTTTAGGAAGGCCTAAGACCTCACTCATATTGTCAAATTGTATTAGTATGTCTATAAAGATTTTAAAAAGTGGACACGAAGTCTTATTTTACTTTATGGTTATGCTTTGCTATATTTCATAGGTAATAAAAACTAAATTAACTTCTTGGTTAAAAAATTGATTCAGGGCCGGGCGTGGTGGCTCAAGCCTGTAATCCCAGCACTTTGGGAGGCCGAGACGGGTGGATCACGAGGTCAGAAGATCGAGACCATCCTGGTGAACACGGTGAAACCCCGTCTCTACTAAAAAATACAAAAAACTAGCCGGGCGAGATGGCGGGCGCCTATAGTCCCAGTTACTTGGGAGGCTGAGGCAGGAGAATGGCGTAAACCCGGGAGGCGGAGCTTGCAGTGAGCTGAGATCCGGCCACTGCACTCCAGCCCGGGCGACAGAGCGAGACTCCGTCTCAAAAAAAAAAAAAAAAAAAAAAAATTGATTCAGAATTTTAGAGTTGGGACCCATAGATTCAAGTGGGTATACCATCAAACCTTTTGCTACTCAAAGTAGGTCATCAAACCAGCAGAACTGGCATCATATGGGAACTTTTCTAAATGTACCCTTCAGACCTACTAAGGCAGAATCTTCCTTTTAATAAGTTCTCCAGGTCAAGAAGTTTGAGAAGCACTTATCTAGTCCACTGGTCCCACACAGTTATCCACAGTCATTGAAATCAATCATGTGGCTTTCAGGATTCTTAGATCCAGTCCCAAAGACTGTATCTATTCCAGAGGTTGGCAAACTTTTTCTATGAAGGGTCAGAGAGTAAATATTGCAGGTTTTGCGAGGCATAGAGTGGTTGTAACTATGGAATTCTGCTGTTACAGTGTGAAAGCAGCCATGTACGATACATAAACTAATGAGCATAGTTATATTCTAACAAATTTATTTATGGACACTGAAGTTTGAATTTCATGTAATTTCCATGTGTAATAAAATATTATTATTCTTTTGCTTTCTCTTCAACCATTAAAAATGTAATTACTATTCTTAGTTTGTGGGCTGCCATAGTTTGTTAACCCCAAACGTATAGGCCTAATATGGGAACCTAGGAATCTGCATTTCTAAAGAGCTCTGTAGGTAACTGCAGTGCACAGAGAGGTTAGGAACAACTCATGAAGGCCAGCCCCCTCACTTAATTGTTGAGGTAACTATACTGGAGAGATGAAACTGGGGCTTTTTAACTCTGTTACAGTATTTTTTCCCATGACATTATGTGACTCACCTTTCAGTATATCATCATTACATAATATATTCTGACTAAAAACAAAAACAAATAAAAAACCTTAATGATCAATATATGATGCTTTTTGGTAAAAGTCAAAAGCTTTACCTTCATTAAAGGCAAAACTTTTTCAAGAATGTAAATTAAAACTTATTAGAATAAATCACACGCCCCATACTGTTCTTATGTAATCAAATAAAATATAGTTATTAAATTAGAAAACAACTTACTTGCCAGTATTTGCACCATCAACAAAAGGATTCCACTGTAACATGAAATTTGGGTCTGATGACAATCCCTGTAAAGATAAAAATATAGTTTAAAATGTTACTTTGTAACAGGTATTTGATTTTATTTGATTCAAGAAAACATTCCAGTATCATGATTATTAATCATCTTGGCATTCAATCAATTTTTTAATCTCTAGCTAGATTTGCTTTGTCATTTGACATATTTAGGTCAATGACTCATTATCAGTTGACCTGAACTTAAGAAATTCCATAAACATACTAAATATAGCTTCAAATGTGACAAACATTCTCTATCAATATGTGAGTATATTCCCAAGCAAACAATAAACAACTGAATTATCTACATCATCACTCTATTAGCATGGAAAACTAAATATCATATTACTAAACTGTCATCAATTTATTGGTGCTACTACTTTTTCCTACTAGCATGGAAATTGGGGTTTTATCATACAGCAACATTTATAGTAAGAAGAGCACTACTTCCAAACGTTAAGGATGAACTCAATAGGCTATAGGTTAGGCTAACTCTAATAATATCTTGCTTCATTACTTTTTCCCTTATTTATTTATTTATTTATTTATTTATTTTTTTTTTTTTTGAGACAGAGTTTTGCTCTGTCGCCCAGGCTGGAGCGCAGTGCCTTGATCTTGGCTAACTGCAACCTCCGCCTCCTGGGTTCAAGCAGTTCTCCCTGCCTCAGCCTCCTAAGTAGCTGGGATTACAGGCACATGCCACCATGTCTGGCTAATTTTTGAATTTTTAGTAGAGATGGGGTTTTGCCATGTTGGCCAGGCTGGTCTGGAACTCCTGACCTCGGGCGATCCACCTGCCTCAGCCTCCCATAGTGTTGAGATTACAGGCGTTAGCCACTGCGCCTGACCACTTTTTTCATTTTAGATAAGGAAAGAGGTAACTAAACAGTAAATCCAAAATAGGAGCAATGGTTAAAAAAGAAACTATATTAACAAATAAAATACATTTAAAAAACAGTAAGGCAATACAGAATGTAGAATTTACTATAAACTAAACAGAATCATTTAAAAAAAAAAAAAAAAAGGTCCTGAGAGCTTAAAGCTGAGAATCAAATTCTGTGTATTTAATGACATCAAGTAAAACCTTCAAAAAACTAACGAGGTTAAAATGAATGATAGAAAGAGTGTATTACATTGTACTCTAGTAAAAATACAACTATAAACTTTTAAAAACTTTAATATGGGAAAAATCAAAATTAATGCTTAAAAGAGTATATTACTTTGTTTTCTAAAGTACTACTAACTCAAAAAAATTTTCTCAAATCTTAATGTGAAAATAATGCTTTAAAAATTAATTCTTACCATTTCATCTCGTGCTTCTGTTTCTTTTCTCAGAGGAGGTTCAAATTGTAATTTGTCAACTGCAAAATATATAACAAGTATGTAGAAACTCAGCATCTCAGGGTTGATCTCAGAAATGTAATGGCAAGTTTGTATATGGTGTGGGGGAGGGAGAAAGAAGAGGGGAAAGAAGAGAAGACAAAAAAATCTTGTTTCTTGACTACAAGAGTATCCCTTTGTTATGCTTACCAAAAGTAAGTAAAAAACTGGGATCTTCCTAACATCTCTACTTAATTCTTGGTTGGAATAAGGAAATTAAACAAACAGTTCTTTTTGTATAAAAGAGATTTTCAAAGATTCATCAAAAGTAAATGACTAAGTAAAAACTTTAAAGATTTTCTCTACGCTGTAGACTCTGTTTTGAGACAGTTTAAGCTATAGCTTCATGATAGAGATGAACTAAGAAAAACTACCTATAAATTACCTAAAAAGAACAAATGACTTCTATGAAATTAAATGTCACAAGGAATCTGATATATTTTGCTAAATACGTATTTTATTTGACCTAGTCCTACTGACTTCAGAATTATTCAAAATATTCAAAGAGTAACTTTTGTATAAAATATTCTAAAACAGAGAAAAGGAGGGTTTATCACTTCCTCATAAAGTATTTAAAATTAAAAAATTCTAAAATCTAATGTGACTAAAAGCCCTCCAAATTTTTTTAAACACTCATACTTGATTCATAGAGATGCAAAATTCCTAAATACAATCTTAGCAAACAAAATACTTTTAAAAAGCACTTTCAAATAGGATCCAGTTGTCCTTATTTCTAAAAACAAGATTTATAAAAAGCAAATACAAAGTACTGACATAACTCATCACATTAAACAAAAACAGTATGTCATAAATTTTTCAATAAAAGTTTGGAAGACATTCCATAAAATATAGTATCTACTTTAAAAAATAAAAAGTCCTTGGTCATTAATGACTTATTTAACATAATTAAAAACATCTGAATTCAAGAACTACTATTATAATTCATAAAGAACCTTGTTAGTCTTTTGAAACAGAGATGAACTAAGGTTTATTTTTGTGACAACCAGAAACACTGGCAAGCAGGTCTAGAGCTGCATTATAAAAAGCACAAATGTGAAAATAATATATTACTTTTTTTTTTTTTTTAAGATGGAGTCTCACACTCTTGTCGCCCAGGCTGGAGTGCAGTGGTGCAATCTCAGCTCACCACAACCTCCGCCTCCCGAGTTCAAGCTATTCTCTTGCCTCAGCCTCCCGAGTAGCTGGGACTACAGGTGTGTGCCACCATGCTTGCTAGTTTTTGTATTTTCAGTAGAGATGGGGTTTTACCATCTCATGAGGTTTCCTGACCTCAGGAGTTCCTGACCCCAGTTGATCTGCCTGCCTAAATCTCCCAAGGTGCCGGGATTACAGGTGTGAGCCGCTACGCCTGGCCATTTTTAAATAACAGAAATTGGACTTACCCTTCTGTATAAACAACTATCTACATGTAATACATATATATGTCTGCATGTTTGTGTGTGTACAAACTAAAGCAACTGTTTGAAGGCAATGCACCACAGACACCATAAGGCTGTGATTCTTAAAAGAAGGAAAATACATGGTGATAAGAGCCATATTTACCCTGACTTTCTGCCTGGGGGCACTTTCCAAACGAGGACACAAGAAAATGGAGCCCAAAGAGAAAGTAACAGTCTCAACAGGTGAAGGGACAAGGATTTTAATTTGGCGCTGCTAAGGTAGAGGGCACAGTCCCAAAAATAAGAAAGCTGTATAAAGGAGGAACTCCAAAAATATGCAAAGAGGTTTTCTTAAGTCTTTGGCTGAATACCAAGAACAAAGCCAGAGTATGCAAGGTATCTCAGAAAATGGCTAACAGAGAGCTGTGAGTTTCTGGAGATCCCACTGTACCAGGAAAAATTTGGCTTTCTACCAGAGGAAAGACCTTGCTGAATACTCTAAAACCTGACACAAGCCTTGAAAGGATTAAGTAGACATACCAGGTAATTAACTCTTTAAAGAAAGAGGATAAAATCCAGACTCTCAACATTGTATTACATTGTCCAACATACAATAACAAAAAAAACTGAAGAAGCCAGGAAATAGGAGCCCATAACCAGTTAAAAACAAATTACTAAAAACAGACCCAGAGGTGACACAGATGTTAAAATCAGCAGACAAGAATTTCAAAACAGCGATTATAAATACGTTCCAGGATTTAAGAGAAAAGATAAACACAGTAAGTGAGCAGATGGAATAGCTCAGTAGAAAAACAGAAATTATATATATGGATGTATGTGTACATACAGGTATATTACATATATGACTGAAAGTCTAGATCCAAAAAACGCTTGCCTGAAATAAAATTCACTGAATGGGCTTACTAGTAGACTCAATAGTATAAAAAAGATCAATGAGCTTCAAGTCAGGGCAAGAAAAACAAAACTGAAGTACAGTGAAGGAAAAAAAAAAAACTTATGTGTGGATACAGGGAGAAGAGTGGAGTGGGAGTACAAAGCCTCCATGACCTATGGACAACATTCAGTGTTCTTACATATATAACTGGAGTCCCAGAAGCAGAGGAGACAGACTGGGGCAGAAATTTTGAATAAATAGTGGCCAAGCATTTTCCAAATTTGATAAAAAATATTAACCTACAAATCTAAGAGGCTCAATGAGCCCAAGACAGAACACAAAGAAAAAACTGTAGTTAGACACAACACAAATTGCTTAAAAAAAACCAAAACCCATAAAAATTTCATATTGCAGTACCTCATATCTTTTTTTTAAAAAACTGAGTTGATGTCATGAATTGGGTTGTAATTCGCAGCTTTAAAAAATACTCATGTAGAAGAACATACAGATATGCTACAGTTCAGGTTTCCCTCCCCCCCCAAAAAATAGTTATTCTGTCAATATAGGTTTTTATTTGGTAGTTATATGTCTATTTTTAGGATGAATATAGCTTGTCAAAAAGCCTCAACTATACCAATGGTTAAAAAAAAAAGTGTCTTGAGTTTGTGCTTCCTACTTGGGAAATCTGTGATTACTTCTCTGGAGACAGAAACACTTACCTCCCTAGAACTGTTACTAAACAGATTTGTAAGACAATATAGATGCTTCTTAACTGACAAAGGCTTGACTTACAATTTTTCTGACTTTCTGGTGGTACAAAAGTGATATGCACTCAGTAGAAACTGTACTTTGAATTTTGATCTTTTCCCAGACTAGCGATATATGGTATGATACTCTCTTGAGAGATGCTGGACAGCGACAGCAAGCCGCAGCTCCCAGTCAGCTACCCTAACATTAAATATTCTGAGCATGTTTAAGCTGGCTGGGCTAAGTTATGGTGTTTGGTAGGTTAGGTGTGTTAAATGTTTTTTTTGCCTTATGATATTTTCAACTTAAATGGGTTTATTAGGATGTAACCCCACCGTAAATCAGGGAGCATCTGTACATCTTACTCAAAATCTCTATTGCCTTTATCACTCTTAGCCTTCAGGTAAGATAAACAGGACAAACAGAAATCTCAAACTGAAGTTGGTTAAACTTTCAGAAATCCTGAGGCTTCCTTAGCCTAAAGGGTTTTTTGTTGTTGTTGTTTTTCTCCTTTGCCTGAATGTCAAGTGACAGCAGTTCCCCTTGGAGTTCATTAACTCTATGAACCAAAAAATCTGGGCATCCTATACATCTGGGAATACTGCCATTAACTCAAGTTACTACGTTTACTACATTTCCAGTTATTAACTGGAACTCAGAGTACACACGGTTTTCCATTCAAACAGGTCCAGGAAGCATTTCCTCTGAAACAACCTTTACATTAAAATTCAGAAACTGTCTTCTGGAAAACTGCCCTCTAAACTCAATACATAGAATTTTGCCAGGTATTGTTAATAACTAATGCAATGGTAAAATAGGGTGTTGATCCCTGTATTCATGTCTCTCTAATATAGAGACATATGCCAATCTTAAATTGCTGGAAGACTGTCCCAGCAGGGCACCTCAAAAAGAGGTGACAAGGAATCCTTCTGAAGCAGATGACTACAAAAAGAAGACAGCCGCCACCCAAGTCAGTTGTACCAAAACTGATAACTACATGAAGTGGAAAGTCTGCCCAAGACCCATGGAAAGATAACTGGAGCTGCTGGTTACTTTAACCTGCAACAACAGTACTTTATTTTCTTAGTCACATTTCCCCCGGCTTTTTGCTAGCTGGAGGTTTTGGACTGTTGACAGATACTTGTTACTTCTTTATTATGATACCTGTAGAGTCCCTATTCTTACTATTGCCCTTTGCAGCCTTAGTCAGCCTGGAGTATGAGTCTAACACCTGGCTGAAATTTACTCATGAGTCAGCTAAAATTATACAACTAAACTAACTGTTAGGCTTATACTCTTTGTGAATACCTCCTATCTTCCCTTGGTGCCAATTCCTTGTAATCAGTTGGTTTCCTAGGTAACTGGGCTCAACCACTAATACACTCTTCAGATGACAAACCAAAAAAAAAAGAAAAAAAAAATTAGGTAATTTAGCTAATACACTCATATCTGAATCAGACTGAGAAAGTAAGAAATCTTTCTTGCCATTAGTGAGGCTGAAAGGACAGACACAAATCCAAATGCAAAGTCAGCAAGAAACAATGTTTCTCCCAAGGATATTTTGTACATGTAAAGTTTCATATAATGACCCCCTCTGAGTTATTCTGCTTTCTGTAAAACCTCTCTCTCTAAAATCACTGACTGCCAGAAACATTGCTATATGAAATCACATTAAGAATGAATCATCCTATTCTTGCCTGGACTAAATCACTGACACAGAGAAACAGACTCAATTTCCAATCCAGATGCAGAGCTTCAAATAAAGGCATATTTGAACACAACACTTCAAAAAGTTTCCAAGGAAACGTACTCCTGGGTTTACTTTAACAGCAGAGACCCTTTCATACACATCCCTACTTTGCATTAAGTCATCACTTAAAATTCACCTGAACTCCACTCTTCCCAAAATCGTGTATTTCTTTTCCCTTGTTTGATGAAATGTTGAATGGTTTGGTTCCTCTGGTGTGTGTTCTCTCTCATTGCAAGGAGTCAGTAAACCTGACTGTGTTGGACTACACGTTTGTCCCTGGTGGTCTTAGACTGATTGGGTATGATTCCTAATAATAATTTATGTCCACTAAAAATACATGGTAAGAATGCTTAGAGTAGTCATAATAGCCCAAAACCAGAAATAAATCAAATGCTCATCAACAGAAGAATGGATAAATTATGGTATGGTCATACAATGGAGTATTACTGTATAGTGAAAACTGAACTATTTCTACACGTGACTCTAACAGACATAATGTTGAGTAAAAGAAGCCAGAAACAAAAGGGTGCTTTTTGTATGATTCTATTTACCTGAAGGTCAAGATCAGGTAAAAGCCAGTTTATGTGACAGAGATCGGAATAGTAATTCGCCTGGGGAGAGGGAGGGCAGGTGAGTATAGAATTTAAGAATACTGATTGTGAAGGCTCTCATGAGGGAAACTTCTGAGATTCTGATAATGTTCTATATTCGTATTTTTAGCTGGGTGGTAGCTATATGAGTGTATATATTTTAAAATTTATCCTGAAGTATTCTTAAGATTTGAGCATTTTACTATATATAAGTTATCACTTCAATTTAAAACACTGAAACAAAAACAAAGTAGAAACAAATAGCATAAAATCTATTGAACAAACAAAAGCAAAGTGGTAAAACACTCCTGATAAATACAAAGAAGTTTTAAAGACAAGTCATTAATAAAGTGACCTTCTACTCTACCACTTTCTGTCTGGTGCTTTAAGCACATGGAGCTCACTCTATGAGGATATTAGTATTTTGGGCTAATATCATGGAATATAAAAGAACTAAATCTTGATCTTATCTCTGAAAAAGCCTATTTTGGTTAAGAAGATTGAATATCATAAATATGTCAACTCTCCCAAAGTATTAAGATCTCTGTAAAAACAGTTTTTTTTTTTTTAAACCACAAAAGCTGATTCTTAAGTTTATGTGGGGAAGGCACAATAGCCAAATGTCATAATGAAAAATAAGTGTGACAAGGTACATATGTGTGTGTGGTGGGGAGGGGCAGAGAGTAGGAGTAGGATTAGTTCTAACAGATATTATCAAGACATAATAATCAAAAGTATGCTACTGGCACAAAAACAGACATTTATGCAACAGAATAGAATTTCCAGAAACAACCCTAAAATATGTATGGCAATTCAGTATATAATAAAGATGGCATGTCAAATCCATGAGTAGAAAGACTGCATTTTCAATAAATAATGAAACTGAGTTGTCATCTAGAAAGAAACTCAAGTTGCAATCCATACTCATACCTTCTACCAAATAATTTATATCAGATTTTTAAATATTAAAAAAGAAACTAAAAACACAAGAAACAATAGGAAAATTATTTTATAACTTTGGAATCGAGAAAGCCTTCTAAATATGACACAAAACCCCAAAACTATACGAGAAAAGACAGATAAAATAGACTACATTAATGGAATACTACAGAACTACATAAAATAAAGAATATGTTACAATGGAATATCAACTTTGCTACTTTTCTCTTTAGTATTTGAGGCCCACAGACTTCATCTCAGACTATAAAAGGAGAGAACAGCATAAGAAGATATCATCGATCTAGGCACTAACAAAGATACTAAATCCTGAATTACTGGCTTAATTATGAAAAGGCCTGATTGAAACAACTGAGAAGGGAAGGATACTCTCCAGTGACTAAGAGTTTTAAAGCTGCGCCCATAAAGCTAGAGATGTTTGGGTTTATGAAAACTCAGACTTAAACAAAATGCACACTGCCAATAATTCTAATTAGTTCAAATATTTAATGAATTATCTTCCTCTAGTATGGTTTACAATTTTATTGATTTTGTTAGTCATAAACCTTATTTTACTGTAAACTACTTTAAATCTCTCAGAACAAGTATTCATTTAAGGCAATAAACCAGAGAAGAACTAAAATTTCTTTATGAATCTGTTGTTCTAAATTAATTTGGCTAAGGTGACAAATACTGATAGGAAATTTTCACTGGTCAATGATTAATTTATTAAATTAAAAACCAATCTCTCTTTTGAAATATTTCCTTTAGAAAAGATTCATCTTAGTGCTAATCTGATTTTTAAAACCTGAAACCAACCCAAACATGCAGGGAGAGTAAACTGGCTAACTACAATAAATCAATTAATGAAACAGAATGCAATCGCTAAACAGAATGGTTATAAAGTCTACGCTAATATATGGAAATTAGTTTTATTATTAAGTGAAATTTTATGCATAGTATAAATTCATCCATGTAAAAATACACATGGAAAATGAAAGAAGTGTGGCAAAATATTAACTATGGGTTGGCTCTGGGTGATGTGATTGTATGCAATGTTAATTTTCTATTTTTTTTCTTGCAGATTTTCAGCAATGGGCATGATTATGTCCATAATTGGAAAATAAAAATTATTCAAAAATTATAAACCAAGGCAATTCCATTGAAACCAGAAAAGCAACCCCTATTTTAGAAGTATTCTGATATGTTGAAGTATGTAGTCTTAATTAGTCCAAAATTTTATTATTCTACAAAACATACAAGAACACCCAGCACAACCCTCCAAAACCACCAATGGAAAACGTAAACCAAACACATACAATTTATTTCTGAAGCTGTCCGTTCAGCTCTGGCATTCCTGTTTGTAGATCTAATGGTATGACGAATGATTGCATGGGGCTGTGAATATAAGCATAATATATATACTTTAACAAATTTCAATGATAAAGTTAAAAGGTCAAACTCTCTTATCATTTATTGATAAATATGAATATCTACTAGTAAATTATAGGATAAACATAAAACAAATACAATGAATGCTAAAATACTTTGGAAGGTTTTTCACTTGTTCCATGTTTATACTGTATAAAATACTGAAGAGATTCAAAGACACACACAAATCTTATCCTCAAAGAGCTTATAGTCTAGGGAGGTAAGACACACAAATACTCACAGATAAGAAAATGGCAAGCACTTTTCATTAAGAGGATAAATGGACTACTAGTAAAGCCCAGTGGAGGGAGAAATGACTTTGACCTGAAGGGGTATAGTTCTTCATGAAAGCTGTAATCTCATCTGGGGCCCTGAAGTACCAGTAGGCACTAAACATGCGGCAATGTGGGAAAAGCATTCTAGATAGCAGAAAGGATATGAACAAAGTGAGGTAAGAAATAACAGGAAATTGTGGAGTGTTTGTAGGGAGTGGGGGTTGGTTATTATTTGGTTGCAGTGAAGATTAGGTGATGAGATGACAAAGATGGAAAGACAGACTGTGAGGGTGAGCCCAATCATCAAAGGCTCTGAATGTCAGTCTGGGTATCTTCACCTCAGTTTCTTGGCAAAAGGAATTTTTTGGAGACTTTACAGCAAGGAAATGGCATTGCCAGTGTCAGCTTTAAGAGTTATCTATTAAGTATGTATGAGACTACAGAGGAGAGAAATACTGGATACAGGGAGATTGAGTAAGAATATTGTAGTAAACCAAGTGAGAAGCATGCTACTTCTACCCACTGTGCAGAACCTCCTGCTCTTTTGAAGTTAGGCCTTCAGCTCAACCCCTATTTACCAAATTTCTGATGACTCACTCTCATTCACTGATGGCTCTGAAAGTGGCTCATCTGTTCACCTCTTACTTCAATACCCACCAACACACCAAATAAATTCAAAGCCCCAGGAGGATCCATTGTTCTAGACTTATTTTCTGACCCAATCTTCAAAGACACTCTCATATATTTCAATGTACTCTCAACTCCTAAAAACCACAGCTTGGACCCTGTCATCAACTCTGATGCATGAATTTCCTCTATATTACAAATCTCCGATGTTTTGAGTTTACTCTCTCACTTACTCCCATTACACTTGTTCAACGTTCCCAATGGAATATCAAGTGCATTGATCCATTACTTTCTCACTCTCCATCAACATCTCTCCTTATCTGGTCTATGTCTGGTAGCACATAATTTGAAGTGATTTCTTGCAAAAATCCTAAATTCCCTTTGCCCCACTATCTTTTAGTAGACTGGGACAGCAAAATGCCAATCCTGGATAAACTCAACTGGTCACCTTTGCGTTTACACATCTGGGGTATCAATCATGCTGGAGGAAAATTATACAGTAGAACACACTGAAAATTCATCTAATCTGAGCTCTGACTCTAGTCATTTAACCCTCCATTCCCCTCAATTACTATTCCGTACCTTCTTCACGTTCTTCAAACCTACCCATTTTCCTTCACCCATACAGATCACTTCACCACTTACTTCACAGAGAAAACAGAAATCACCAGCTACACTGCATTACCAACCATCCCTTTCTCTAATGGAAGAGCAGTGTTGCGTCTCCCTGCTTTCTTCTCATGGACTCTGCCTTTCCATCTTGCTTCCCTTGACTCTTCTGTCTATTGGACAGTATTATGAGCATTTAACGAAAGAAAAAGCATGAAAAAAAAATCCTTCTCCAGCTTATTCTCTTCCAGCTACTGCTCTACCCTATCCCTCCCTTCACAGCTCAATTTCATAAATGAATTGCAATACATATCTTTCAAACCAGTCAATCTAGCTCCCCTTCCTCTATTAGAAAATTATCCCTGTTAAACTCATCAAACACTAACCACCTAAAGCCAAAAACTAGTTTAACTTAATTTCTATGTTCTCACTGAAACTCTCCTTTCTTCTTTCAATGTTTCTTATCAATCTCCTCTGCTATTGCCCTTTGCCTACTTGATCCTTAAATTTTGGGAGAAATCTCAGGTTCTGTGCTAGGCTCTCTTCTCATTCTACATGCTTCCCTTGGGTGATCACATTTACTCTTAAGGCATCAACTACATGTGTATCTAATGACTCTCAAATTTATATTTTTATTATTTTATTTACTTTTATTTTTTTGAGACAGGGTCTTGCTCTGTCACCCAGGCTGGAGTGCAGTGGCACAATCATGGCTCACTGCAGCCTCGACCTCTTGCACTAAAGTGATCTTCCTACGTTGGTCTCCCAGGTAGTTGGGACTACAGGTACCCGCCACCAAGCCTTGCTAATTTTTAAAATTTTTTTGTAGAGACAGGGTCTCACTGTGTTGCCCAGGTGGGTCTCCAACTCCTTGGCTCAAGTGATCCTCCCACCTTAGGCCCTCCTAAACTGCTGGGATTACAGGCATTAGCCATCATACCCAGCCTCAAACCTGTACTTTTAATCCAAACTTTTCTTTCCAAGCTACAATGACATATTTAGCTCCTTACTAGACATTTCCATTTGGAAGTTCTATGCAACATCTTCTTCAGTATAAAACACAGGTTTCTTCCCAAACCTGATTTTACCATAGTGTTCCTATCTTAGTAAATGGTTATATCCATCCAACCGCTCAAGTCAAAATCTGGTAGTAATTCTTTTCTTATTCCTTACCTTCATGTCTTCATCCAATCATTAACTCTCTCATATAATTCTTAAATTAATCCACTTTTCTCCATCCTTGCTCTACCATCCTAGTTTACCATTATTTTTATCTTGTATGATTTCAACAGTCTTTTAACAGGTTTTCAGTAATGAACTCACCATTCTGAAGTCACTGAGATCTTTAAAAAATGCACATTTTGATTACGTCACTCCCTTACCCTTTAATGGCTTTCTACTACCCTTAGACTAAAGTCCAACATTTTAAACACAGTTTGATAGACGGTATTTAGCTCTGTATCGTTATCTTCTATCACTTCCTTCTTCCCTATTTTCTGCTCTATTCAGACTGACTTTTCTTTCTCTCTCATTCTCTCTCTTTTATTCTTCCTCTGAGACAGGGTCTCATCCTGTCACCCAGGTTGGAGTGCAGAGACGCGATCTCGGCTCACTGCAACCTTTGCTTCCCAGACTCAAGCGATTTTCCAGACTCAGCCTTCTGAGTAGCTGGGACTACAGGCGTGTGCCTCCATGCCCAGCTAATTTTTTTGGTATTTTCTGTAGAAATGGGGTTTCACTATGTTGCCCAGGGTGGTCTTGAACTCCTGAGTTCAAAGTGATCTAGCTGCCTCAGCCTCCCACAGTGCTGAGATTACAGATGTGAGCCACCGCGTCCAACCCAGACTGTCTTTTCTTTAGTTCCTTATGTACAGTGCCTTCTCCCTTATCACCAGGCTTTCAAACATGTTATTAACACCTCTGCTCAGGCCACTTACATTTATTCTCTTCCTCAAATTCTGACTTATCTTTCAGGTTTTCAGCTTAAATGTCACTTCTACGATAGTGAGTTTTTTCCTGCCCCTATAATATCCCTCCATAGCACCTTTTACCTCCCATTCCATCACATGTGTAAATTAGTCATCGGTATTTCTGAATTTCCTTTGAGACTATACTATGAGCACTATAAAAGCAGGGATAATGTTAGTCTCATACACCATTGTGCCCCCAACTGCCTGGCACATGGTTTTGCATTTCAAGAATTGAAAAGTATGGTGACATCATTAAACAGAAATAGAGAATTCAGAAAGTAGAGTAGATTTGGGAAGCCCAGCAAAATGTGGTAAAAAATAGGTGTTTGGTTATTTACATAACCAGTGAAAGGCAAACTGGAGAACTGAGTAATATCTAATAGTTATGCAAGAATAACTTTACTTTCTTTAAACAATGGATCTTTAAACAATTAAAATACTTATTAATCCCAAGTTGCAAACAGTGGTTCAAGTAGAAAACAATTTTATGTATGGTTGGTTTATTTAATATTTCCACTTCAAGTTCATTTAACATTCAACTAAATATTCACTGGGTACTCACGACATGACAGGATTATGCTATATACCAGGCAATGGGGAAATAAAGATTGGCGTTTAAAGACTGTTTAATGACTATTTCTATTAAATACATACATAGATATGATGGTGTATTAACTAAGAGAGTAGGCTCTGGAGTTTGCCTGGATCTAAATCCTGGTTCCATTTCCTATTTGCCATATGATGCTGGGCAAATTACTTCCATTTTTTGTCCCTCGTTTCCTCATTTATAAAACAGGGATATTAATGGTACCTACTACAAAGGACTGTTTTGATATTAGATGAGTTAACACAGAAATTATTTGGCGTAACACGTGGCACACACTGAGTACCCAATGAGTGCTAGTAGTTACTATAATATTTATTTATTTAAAGACAAAAGTCTCACTCTGTTGCCCGGGCTGGCGTGCAATGGAACAATTTCAGCTCACTGCAATCTCTGCCTCCTGGGTTGAAGAGCTCCTCCTGCCTCAGACTCCCAAGTAGCTGGGACTACAGGTGCCTGCCACCACACCCAGCTAATTTTTGTATTTTTTTCAAGTAGAGATAGGGTTTTACCACGTTGGCCAGCTGGTCTTGAACTTCTAACCTCAAGTGACCTGTCCATCTTGGCCTCCCAAAGTGCTGGGATTACAGGAGTGTCTGGCCCATAGTATGATATTTATAGGAAATAATTTAAAACTGAAGAACAGGAAATAGAAAATTCCCTTTAGTGAAGGTAGAGATATAAGGGAAATAAAGGCTAAAAAGGACATAAAGAGACAGATTCAGAAAAACTTAGGAAAAAAATAGAATCATAAAAGGAGAAGAAGGAACACAAGGAGAAAAAGAGACTGGTGAAAAAATATAGTTGTGCTATATACAGTCATAAGTAGATACCTGTTAATGAAGAGGAAGTCTCTCATTCCTGATTTCCTGACAAGTTGTGTTGTTATAGAAAATACATTACGTGCCAGGCACGGTGGCTCACGCCTGTAATCCCAACACTTTGGGAGGCTGAGGTGGGTGGATCATGATGTCAAGAGATCAAGAACATCCTGGCCAACATGGTGAAACCCTGTCTCTAGTAAAAATAC